TTTCCCCCCTTTTTTTTTTTTTTTTTTTTTTTTTTTTTTTAACATGATGCATTGAATCGTACCGGTACTCTTCTCATGCTGGAAGTCGTTAAACCCTAAGCCAAAGATGAGAGAACCACCTGAACAGGGACAGAGGTAAAACTCAGAATTTTCAGTTCAATAAACCTCAGCAGCTGTTGCATATTCATGGAGTTCAGAGAGGACCTCAGTAGTGCAGAGGTTCTGCTGCCTACTGAGCGACAGATTTCTTCATCTTCAGTGCTTTATTGATTCCAACTTGCAGAGTAGAGACCCTCCACTCCACGCCAGTTGAGAAGCAAGTTGCAACTGGTACAACATTCCATGTTAAAGATTACACAAGTTTAATTTGCTGTTAACATATACTACCACTTATTGCAAAAGTAGATGGCTTTGGTGATCATTTCTGTAACTGCACTTCCACTACTCCAGAAGCTGTAAGCGGACGCGTGTTTTTTATGCTGTTCCTCTGCTGGCAGCCATGCAGAGATTCAGTTTGAACACTAAGTGATCACCTCCCCCGCAAAGGGGAAAGCTAGGCAGGAAAAACCTGCGGCAGAAGGTACTCAGCCTCACAAATGGCTTGAAATGAGTATACAATCCCACGGCGGCTGAAAACTTAAGGCATCAAGACTCTGAAACTTCGCTGTGGTAGCAGCCAGATGGACTGAATGCTTGCAGGAAAACTACGCCAGTTACCATTTTCTCCAGCAAGGCTTCCAAATCAATACGCTGCTCGTGAGGACAGCGGTAAGGGCTTGCAGTCGGCACGTATCAGACCACAGAATCTCCCCTCCACCCTCACAAGCAGAAAGAGTACAAAAGAAATTGCTTTTGATAAGCAGTCTGAATGTAACAGGACCATAAAAATTGAGCAAAGGGGAGGACGGGGGGAAAGCTGATCAGTAAACAGAAGCATCTGCAATGATGATCGCTCATCTCATTGATTCAAGGGAGACAGAGTTTGCTTTCTTCCATGTCTCCCCTCCAAAAAGAAAAAGTCACCTGTACTTAAATATGATTGCGTAGCAATGGAATCCTCACTACTCTTTAGCTGTATGTTTTCCTCACTAAACCCTCTAAAAGACTCAAGCCTTAGATTCGTAGCTCCTTAATCAAGTGAAGTCCGTTGAGTTTTAAAATGATTGCTGGCATATACTGTAAGGAAGCCTGTGAAGTCAAAGGAGTCAACAACAGTGAAAGGAGAATCTTCCTCTTGCTGGCATGTAAACAGAAAACCACCACCACACAAGGTAAGGCTGTATGTTTCAGAGTCTCACCCTTTTTACATTTTTCAATTATACAAAGTCCATTTTCAAATAAAGTTATACATTTTTCCACAATTGCACTAGGCTAGAATTATGCTTATTCTGAATATGGAAATCAGAGGCAGTCTGCCTGTCCTGCAAGCATAAGAATTTAACATTAAATTAAAAACAAAAAAAATTACCAAGCACAGTAGAATTTTAATCTTTGAAAATAAAGTTGTTGCTGGGTGTACAGTTTAAGCAGCAAAACAAATGTCACCTTGAGACCCCAGTCCACTTTTGTTTATTATTCAGGGGAAAACACAAAGCCTCTGAATCTGATCTTTGTGGTGGAAAGCCAAGCATCCATCCATCCCCAACGCTAGCGGACCAAGTTATTCTAGAAATGTCGGTTGTTAATGATTTCTGTGTCTGCTGCTGGCACTAAGCTCCAAGGAGTCCAGGCACTGTGGTGTAAAGCACTATAGTGGGAAGAGCACAGCCAGGCATGGCTTGAGTAAGAGCAGTTTTCCCCAGGCTTCGTCCTTCCTCACTTCCACCTTCCAGCGGGGTCCATACGCTAAGCTCTGACCTAACTATTTGTAGCGGTTTTGACCATTTCTCTAACAGCAGATGAGGCTTTAAGGCATCGCCAGTCTTCCTTACGCACACTTAGGACTTAAAAACATGGACAGCCCTTATCACGTACTGCCTGCATATGGGACATTCGCTCATCCGCTTCCCGCACTTGGTGCAAGTGACCATGTGGCCGCACTCCAGCAGGACACAGTCAATAGGCGCGTCCATGCAGATTTTGCAGAGGTTGTCCTCTGGGCCAGGCAGCCCAGCACCACCTGAGTAAATGAGAGACCACAGCTTGCATGAGACAAAGAAAGGTATGTTGGTTTTGTGCAATCTGCGAGTTGGCTTTATCAAAGGGCTTCCCTGATGTACTTCTGTACACCAAAGGGCTGAAAAAAAATTCCCCTTGCATCTACACCGATATGGATAAATCTACTCCGCCAACTGGCAAGGAGCAGAAAGTTTTAGCATTTACACAGTAACTTATGTGTGATGAAAACAAATACCACTGAGATTCTTAGCAATGAGGTGAATGAAGCAACATGGGTCTCTTTTCCCAAGTAACAAGTGATAGGACAAGAGGAAAGGGCCTCAAGTTGCGCCAGGGAGGTTCAGGTTGGATATTAGGACAAATTTCTTCACGGAAAGGGCAGTCAGGCCCTGGCCCAGGCTGCCCAGGGGAGTGGTGGAGTCCCCACCCCTGGAGGGATTTAAAAGCCGGGTGGGCCCAGGGGAGGAGTCCCCACCCCTGGAGGGATTTAAAAGCCGGGTGGATGTGGTGCTTAGGGACATGGTTTAGTGCTGGGCTTGGCAGTGCTGGGTTAACGTTGGACTTGGTGATCTTAGAGGTCTTTTCCAACCTAAGCGAGTCTATGATTAAGGATATCACTTACCAGTTTGATCGTCAGTGTCAGAAACTGCAACATAAGAAGAGACAGTTATTTGGTGAGAGTAAGAGAAGCTGGGGAAAAAAATTACTGAAGCGGTATTATTAAGCAGGAGATGAAAGCCTTGAAGGGAGAGTACTAAACCAAAACTGCTTTTTGCTGATCCCCATGCAGAGCATCAAGCTGAATCTCTCATCAGGAGAGGTTGTTCAACTGGCAAGAAACTTTTCCTCTTCCTGAGCTTACACAATAGCTAACGCTTCACAAAGATAAGCAGCTACCTAAAGTGATGTCTCAATTTTTAAGACAGCCTTGCAATTTATGCAGCGTTTGGCTTCTAGAACAACACTTTCAGTAGCCCCTTGTGCCAGTTTCTTTGGTGTTACCCAATCTCACCCATATTGAGCACAGCTGAGACACACCCAGGCAACAGTGAGTAAGAGAAAAGGGTAAATTCTGTCAAAAGCACAAGATACAATGAAAGAAGAATATAAAACCAAAGCGGTTGTCTTAAATCTTTTATCATTCATAGAGGACAAAGCTTAGAGAGACATGTTTAAGAAAACGACACTACTTTGGACAACATTGAGAAACAAAACTATCCATGAAATCAAAGTGTTAAAATACATTTCTCTTGTAAATAATTTATATGTCTTTTTTAACTAGTTACCTAGAATTGCAAACTGGCACCTGAAAGTCAAGCCAGATACCCTCTCTGTGCACCTCCACCACACCACTGCCCCCTCGTCAGTCGTGTGCAGGCCCAGCAGGAGCAGGCAGCGCACAGGAGGGACGCTCTTGGGGCGAAGAGGACAGAGTCAAACCACAGAACACCACAACTGTTCAGCAGCGGGAGCCGCCCTCGCTGAGCACGTGCCCGCTCTGAATTGCCCGGCTGCTTTTTGGTGGCATTTTCCTGCGCACTTTGCCAGTTACCATGAGTGCTAGATAAGAGCTCACTCAAGCGCTTGCAGTCAGCTGTCTGCAGTCACACGTCAGCTGTTCTGCAGGTGATGCAGCGACCGGCGCGATCTGCCACAGCTATACAGAATCCCGAGGTGAAGGGTGCACAGCCCTCATTTGTTGCTACTACAGGGAAGTCACTCTCCAGAGCTACCATAATGTTCTCCTCTTAAACAAGTACAAGTAGTGGTGAACACAGGTTAGCTACTTTCACTCTAACATGCATATCAGAAACACTCCCTCCATTCCTCCACTTGCAAGAAACAGAAATGTAAGATAAGTTCTATTCACCTTCTGCAACTGTCCGTAGAAAGGGAAAACCTGGAGAACAGGTACGTGCTTGCTAAGTTTCTTACCTAGATGTTGAAGGTCCTTCTCTTTATAAAGACGAGTCACCCTCTCTAGCAGCTCCCACTTTTCACAGCAGCCTTTGTAGTTGACAAAGTTGCGAGCAAGAATTTCCTTCAGCTGTCGCACGGAGAGTGCATTGATGTCTCCGATGCTCGTTAGATCCGAGAGAGAAGCCTTCCTCCCCTGCACCAGGTTATCTTCTGAGTCAGTAGACTGAAAGGGAACAAAGATGGAATGATTCTTGCCCTCAACACCTAGCACTACAATTTAAATCAACTTTCAACGTGTGCACTAGCAGGAATTCATGTTTGGATGTACATATAACTCTGATTACTCTGTAAATTCCTTCATCGATCAGAAACACAAGTCCTAGGATGGAAATAAATAATATCTATTATTATAGTGTCCAGGTGACACCAGTTCCTTCTATATGTAGAGGACAAGACAATGCTAAAGAAAGGGGTGGACTGGGTCTGCCGGTGGCCAGTCTGAATTATGGTTTAGCCACCCATCTCTTTTCAGTAATGATTCTGTGGTGTCAAATATGGCCTAGAAAACCTGGTATTCCTTGTCATCTAATTCCAGGACACACAAACCTGTGTCTCCTCCTCTGTTGGTGCTTCTGCTGCATTCTCAACTCCTGTCATACCGACTTGGCTTGGAGGCACATAACCATTTGCCTAGAAGAGGAAATAAAGCTTTCACCAACAGCATATCTCTGTGTGTCCAAAGGGGAACGAGCTCGACAGTTCAGCCTAACTGCAAACCCTGCCCGCTGGAAGGACAACTGCAGCACAAGGTAAAAGCGAGGCACGCTCGCAGAAGGTGTTTCCTGTGTGGCACTAAGAGAAACAAACTTTAAACAAGTAAAACTTTTTGAAACTGAAGTGCAGCATCTGACCCTTTAAAGCCCTGCTTTATTTAAAGCCTGATAGAGTACTTGTACAGTAAGATCCTACGTGATGTTCTTGTGAGGCTGGATCAGGAGGATACCAAATTTATACATGTGTACGTGTGTATATATATATATATATACACAATCCATCACTGAAGTGTGATGGTGTGACATGGTGCGATATCGCAGCTCTGATGGCACACCGGCTATCGGTGCAAGGCTCCGCGTAAGACTCCTCTGGAACACAGCTCAAAGTCTACAGGTCATCTTCAAAGTAAGCATACAGAAACACCTCCTCAGGTGGGTTCTGGGCTGGACAAATAGGAGATACTAAGTGAAGGACCAGCAGCGACAAAGCTGGAGAACGAGAAGGGGCCGTTGCTTTGAGCATGTAATAAAATGAAAGGCTCTGCAGTGTAATTCTAGCCGACTTGCGTTCAGCAGCTATCAGTCCCCTCTGTGGTTTCCCTGCTGACAAAGGAGACTGTAATGTTACCATCCTCCTTATCCAAGTGGTGACTTGTTAATATTTACAAAGCAAAGTAACAAAAATAATGAAAGAGCCTGAACTGTAGCAGGATGTCATGCAAGTAGAGACAAGAAGCTGAAATCTATCATGGGGCAGTAAGGGAAGACAACAGAGCTGAATGTGCTGGTAAAACCTGGAATGGCAATATCCAGAAAACCAGAGAATGAAAAGGCCTTTTAATGATTTGTAAAAAAACGTCCTCCCAGGAAAACTCTTCTTTAGTACTAGATCTATCTGCTGAGGAAGCAGAAGGTACAGACACTTCCACAGCTCTGGTCCACAGGGAACTAAATACACCTATTAACTTCGTGATAGGACTAGGAGCAGATGTCAAACACTGAGTAAACTTCCCATACCAGATAGGAGAAAGACAAACAAAGCAGAGTCAATAAAAAAATAATTAAGCTCAAACGCCCCTGACAAGGTTCGTCAGAAGTGCAGGGTTCATCATAAACGGAAGACTTAACAACAGACTCCGGTTTTGTCTTCTGTTGATCTGAGTGCAGAAGACACCAAAAACCCTCACCCATCTCACAATCATCTTTCTCATCAGTTTCCATTCCAAAATTGCTTTAAACTGTGCTTGCTGTCTTGCATGCGAATTAAAGAACAACAATAACCATTTCAGCTAACACCTACATACAATTGTCAGAAAGTTGTCAACGTCAACACACACGATAGATCTGTGCCCCAACACAGACATCGAGTACCAAAGGAACCAGTCACAGGAGCATCTAGTGGCAATGGCGAGCGTGGACCAGAGCACCAGAGAAAACACATCTCAAAACAGTGATGTTGTTCTCGGAGTGAATGTCCAATATTCAGCACTGCCCACCAAATTAAATTCCACTAGTGTAGAAAGGGAACAGCACCTTAAAGCTGGTGACAGCAAGCCACAGTTGTACACAGCAAGGCAGTGTAAAATAACTCATCTTACTTTCCTAATTATTCTGTAAGAAAGTGTGAGGTCCTCACTTCAAAATGAAAAACAAACCCGAGAAGAGTGTGTATAAAATGCAAGTGAAGTATTCTGTCACCTGTTCTAAACAGAAGCCCTCCTTGCTTTTTCAGTGGGCATCTTTAACGCAAAGCTTTTTTGGTACATTATCTGCTTGGAAAACCTCATGCAACATCTTAGTAGTTAATCCAGAACTAGAGATGAATGAGTTTGCAGAAGATGCTTCTGGCTCGAGACCGTACCTGTTGATGTTCCTGAGCTAGTGAACTTGAGATGGGATCTGCAGACACAGGAGACACGTCATGTGAGGTAGAAGATGCTATGCTGGTTGGTGGGAGAATCACAAAGTCTTGCTGTCCAGAGGCACTAGTATTAAATGAATTTGTTCTTATCTGATCTTCCTGGGTAATTACAGGCTGCTGGCCAAGAATCAGAAATACCAGGTCCTCCTTTTCACGACACAACTCTGTGGAAATCTCACGGAGTGCCAAATAGTCTCGCAGATCCTTCACCTTCATCTTTATCAACTCTTCCCGCTGAAAAGCTGTGGCTCGGAAGCGCTGGCATAGATGGCAGAGGAGGGGACCACCCTCAGGCTGGTTTGAGCAGGACGTACAAAAATTCTTCTTACAGTCCAAGCAGATGTGCTGGTAAAGAGAAGGGAATAGAATCAAACCGATCCACCGTGACCTGCGACAGAGGTGCCCAACGACCGCGGGCAGTGCTCCCCTACCATCTGGAAGCCAAAGCAAGCCGTAGCCTCTGTTAAAGCATAATCAGAACCTCCCAATTTATGAAGAAGTGTCAAGTGTGTTACTCATGTTCCTAGATGAGGAAAAGGATTGATCCCATGAGCAGATCGCTAGATTCCTCACAGTTCTTAGAAAAGCACTGTTTACACTCCGTTTACCCAGAATAAAATACTACATTCTTAACAATTCCCTCAAATGACAGGAGTTCTGCACCTTATTCCAGACCTGTTCATCCAGTTTAAGCCACAGATGAAATCAGGAGATATCTATGAGGCAGCAGACTTTCAAGTAAATTACAGCTTGTTGTGCATTGCTTTATAAAACAACGAAATAGCGCTCTGTGCATTAAGAAAGCTCTAGCATTGGAGGGAACTACTTAAGAACATTTCTCTATTTCATATGTTTAATACTTGCTATGAGTGACCTCCCTCCCCCCCCCCTTTTTCCCCCCTCCAATTTGCTGCAATCACTAAATGCATCTTTTTTTCACCATAAGAGGAAAAGGAAACAGCAAGGCTTACAGTGTCTGACAGACATAAAAGAATTCAACATTTATTTATGCAGCAAAAATAGCCAGCTTATTTTGAAAATAATATGCACACTGTGTGCCAGTTAGGTACTAGACAGAAAGTGTTGGAAGTTTTGGAAATATTAGGCCCCAGATGTTTAAAAACTTTACAGATTAAATTCTGTTGTTTATTGTTTATGTTTTATACTGTTCTGGTCTTGTCACTCAGGGCTCGATTTTCAGAAGTTCCAAGCACTCACAGTCCATGTTGACTTCTGCAGAAACTTGACTGTTCAACACTTTGGAAAGTCAAATTCTATATTTTCCAATAGGAATAGCAGCAGAACAGCCGCATTATGCGCCTTTTAAAAAGTCCTGAGGGAAGAAAGAAGTGGTTTCAGTGCTGGTTAAAAATGCCAATTCACAGACTCGGAGAAGGCAAGCATCTCTATGAAATGCTGACATCCTGACCCTTCAGAGCTATGCAAGGAAAAATACACATGCAGAGGTGGAGAAGCAACAAACACAAACTCAGAGACAAAAAAAAAAATTGCTTTATTGCTTCCAGTGATTAAACAACATTTTTAACTTCACAGTTCAAAGAAAGCAGATGTTTCTCATGTTTTAAAAGGTGTAAATACACTACTTGCTTACATAGGCTCCTTCTGATCCCCTTTACGGCCTGGCAGCCCCCTTGCCCCGCACACCCCCTGACAATTATAACCGACAGACTTCTCATTTAGACCCCGCAATAGACTTACAATGACAGTTAGTGGAAAGAATTCCCATTTCCTGCCTCAGCGTTTTGAGACACGAACATTTCTACCACAGAGAGAATCTCTGGTCCTGCAAACTTGAAACCTCATCTCAAAATTGCTGTCTGGGGGCCTGCCAAGCAAAAGCGACTTTCATCAACCACAAAGCAAGACAGGAAGGGCAATTTCCACATATCGTCCAGTTTTGAGAAGTTTTCCTTAATTTGGTCATTATAAAATCCTTCGTATATAACTGACTTTTTTTGACCCTACGATTGCAGGAGCAAACCAGTTTCTCAGGAAATTCTCAGGGCAGAGGCAGGAACTACTGGTTGTGCATACGTCTAGAGCAGGGGAACAAACACTCCGCAAAGGCAGAGTAATGGAAAATCACCCCACTGGCAACATTTTCCCTCTCTCGATCACCCATCTCTGACAGGAAAGCAATCAGAAGAACTGGGGGGGGAACAACAAAAACCCAAAACAACAAAAACCCAAACCACCTTGCTTTACTCTGGGAGGGGGAAGCCTCCCCCGCGCTCCGCAGCCTGCCAAACTGGCTCCGAAGGGAACCGCTGCATGGCCAAGGACCTTCCAGCCAGAAAACCCCTACTTGAGTACTGACGTGTTTAGGTATCACATAAGCGAGCACAGTACAAGGGCTGCATTATCCAACATGTTTTTTGCAAGCAATTAACAGTAATAACATGAGTCTGCCTTAGTTATCAAATGATACATTTGAGAAGTCAAAATAAAACCAGGCATGTCTCTGGCTTATCAGTTCACCACTAGGATTCATCTCCAGAGAAAAAATAAAAAATCCCCAGCCCGTATCTGAGCATCAAGTATTTAAACATGCACAGAAGCTGGTTGCTGCATCTCACTATTAAGCAGCTTTTACAGCTTCAATATATTTGTTGAACTCTGACTGAAAGGGCAATGATTGAAGACACGGTTCTCTTCAGAATGATTAGTTTCAAATGTTTTTGTAAATTAAATTCTTTACTAAAAGGTCAGACCACTTCTGAATGATGCTTACTAACTGGCAGCACAATCAGAGGACGGCCAAACAGAAGTGAAATACTTTAAATCAGAAGCCTGCCGAGGATGGAAGCTGTTGCCGGTTGTTTGCTCTAACAGCTAGTCTCCCAGAGATACCAGGATGGGGCTTTGATACACTTGGCTCTTCTCTGGATGCAGGATAAAATGAAGAAATGCCAACATTCAAGCTTTCACTATGGCTACTGTTGTTCAGGGTTTGGTTTTTTTTTTAATCTTACACTCTAGCTTGCCAGGAGCTTTTTCTGTAAGTATGCAAAGAAAAGCATCTTCCTGAAAATGTCAGCCAATTTAAGGCACCGAAATCAGAAAATGGGGGAGGAAGGAGTCACAATCTGACATACCCACCAAGAATACCTGCCACAGCTTGCTATCAGCAGAGAGGGAAATGAAGAATGCTGGTTTTAAATTTAAAAGATTTTGTGGAATCAGTTTGCTACAGAAAACCAAGATCAAAAAAGTCATCTAAGAGAAGGAGAACACCAAAAAAGCTCAGATATTTTGCTCCCATGATTAACTTTTACATCCTTTAAAGATGCTCCAACAGTTAAAAGCATCTTATAAATACACGCTCCACTCAAGCCTCCCTACCCTAATCCTTTTAGTAGGTGCCATGTTATATGAAAATTAAAAATACAATTATGCCAAAAGATCAAGTACCTAAGATACTATCATTCTGCTTTTGCGGGGGGGGTGGGGGGGTGGAGGGTGTTGGTTGGTTGGTGGTTTTTTTAAAAGCAATTTAGGTTATCCTTATGGACACCAGTGTGGAAAGAATTAATTATTACCTATTGTATTTCAGTATAAACATTAACTGGACACTAGAGTTCAAAGGTACTGCCTCTCTTGGGACAAAATGCAGAGTTTTCGGTGCTCTGGTTGCAGCAAAGTGAGATTTCATACACTTCTTGGTCCGTATCAACAGAATTAAAGAATTAACATGGCTTACAAACATGTCAGTGTTTCACAAGTTACATACTCAGTTCTTTGTCTCAAATTCTCTCCTGGAGACCAAGGACTGATGGATGATCTAGCAGACCTTCCTGCAGCTGTGTGAGCTTCACCACCTGTAGCCATCTAGCTCAAGTCAGCCCCAGAGATTGCTGCTCAGCAGTCGCGGTGGGAGGAGGAAGGTGGAAGGAAGGTTTAGGAGCCCCCTTCACAATACAGCATATAAACCTCCAACTCATTTCCACTGAGAGTCTGCACTGAACGGGAGCAGCTGAGACACAAGCACACATTGTGCTCTCCTGCCCCAGTCACACTGACAGCCAGCTCCAGCAGAAAAACAGGGAAGTCTGCTGGGGCAGAAATGTCTTGAATTGCTTTAGCGGATCCTCTACAATTTGCACGCCAGAGCTTTACCTAGCCCCAATCCGTCAGTATGTTTTCACATATCTGGAGCGGTACTGATGACCCTTACACAAGAGACTGCTTTAAAGACAGCTTATATCAGGTTTTAGAAGATACCAGGAAAAATGGGACTATGGTTCTAGCACTGCTACTGTATAATCCATACCTAACTGCATGAATTGTTTTCGTTTCAACAGCAGAATTGTTTACATCCACTATTTGCTACTATGCAGAAGAGTAAGCACTGGGTTCAGAATAATTCTTTCCACAAGTGTTTGCAAAGATACATCACATTAACGAGGACAATGTTAAAGACAACACTATGCGGAGTCACGTGCAGTGACGGCACCGTTCCCACCTGACCCAGAATCTGCCTACTGCCAGAAAAAGTCTAAGCATACTTACATACCCCAAATATATTAACATATATACCCAACCCCCAAAATATTACCAAAATTTCAATTTGTAGTGATTTCTGGAGCAATATCACTTCTCAGTGCAAAAATACATAAAATATCCCTGTTGTTCCATGAGTAGAAAGCAACAGCTCTGCCAAGACTTACCATTTCCCAGATACGTGCCAGCATGCATGAATAAAAAGGTGCAAGACAGACCAATTTATTAATTTCCCCATCAAATCTAACAGGGCTGTGGCCAAAACTCACTGTAATTTTTATTCTCACGTTATTAAGTTCAGTAACATGCTAAATATAAAACACTTCTTAAGCCACAGAGTTTGGACTCTGAACAACTTTCCTCACTAAAACATTTTTCAAGCAGCATTATAGGAACCTCAATAATGTCCCAGACAGGGTTTGCTGTCTAATTAAAAATCTTGTGGCAACAATTATTTTGGCATTTATATGCTCACAAATGAAGTTTACAAACAAGATAAAATGGATTTGTTTGGGGTTTTTTTTTTGGGGGGGGGGGGGGGGGGGATTGTGGTCAAGATTCATGCAGTCATCAAGTGGATAATTAAGGGGTTGAACAGATCTGGCAGTGGTCTGCAGATTAATGAAAGAAATGACACCTAAGGAGAGAGAGCTGCATCTCAAGTTGGGGGGGGGGGGGTTAGCACTGAGCTTCATCAATTTAACACACACCCGCAATAAACTTACATGGCTTTTTAGTTTGAGCAACAATAGTTTGGAAGAGAGATATGTTGATCTTCCTTCACTGCAAGCACAAACAGATTACTAAACTTCTTGCCACAAGTTTGTTTTTTTTTTTTAAAAGGACATCAGTGTTTTTAAATAACAAATTTAAAAACTCAAGTTCAAGTTAATGCTCCTTTAAATGGTTATAAGCAGTTTGGCTTGCTTTTTTCAGTGCCTGGGAAAGCCAAGTCTACTGAAGGTTAACTGCCACATTTCCAGTCATCTTTAACTACATCTGCTAATTGCGAAAGAATGACTAAAGACACAGAAGCAAAGGCAAGCTGTCTTTTTCCATATGGTATGGCCTCAAATCGGAGGCCTCTAATGTGCACCCATTCCTCTTCAAATTGGCCTTCTGGAATTAAATGAAAGCCAGATGGCATATTGCAAACCGAACACTCCCCTAAGCCAGCGGCGCCAGAGCAGACGGTTGCGACTCACCTTCCTGGCGGAGCTGTCGAAGTGCACCCCGCAGGCTTTGCAGCTCTGCTCAGAAGCGGTGGGAGACGGGTAGGAGCTGTACCCGGGGTTGGAATAGGCTTGGGCTCTGGCTCCCTGCTGCGGTGGCGGCTGCATCTCTTCGGGTGAGCCATCCAGACAAAGCCAATTACAACAGCTTGCCCACATAGTAACTGAAAGTGGAAAAGACAGACATTAGAAATGACATGGGAAACGTCTGTCAGCTAAAGTGAGAACAAAGCATAAATGCATATTTAAATTTCCCACCAGCAATTCATTTTTGACAGCGTGTTTGTAAGTTTTGATCTTTCCTCTAACGAGCACATGCAAAAACCACGCACCCGGTCCAGCATGGTACGCCTTTGGTGAGAAAGGACAAAGAAAGTTCAGGATAGTTATTACTGGAATTTCTTAGAGTTAGGAGATTACAGCGAAGATAAGATAACTTTTATGTTCCAGTTGGCTGTACAAGACTCTGATCAAGTTTGCTGTAACAGGCTGTCTCTATTCCATGTAAGCCGTAATGCACTGACCTTGTTTTTTTGTGCATTGGGAAAAGCAAACAGAAGCTCAAATTATGCCTCATACATTATTTAAATAAAATCAGCAGCAAGATCACAGATGGCTATTATTCAATTTTATTCTAAATCCCTCTACAGATTTACAGCTACAAATCTAAAAAGACAAAATAAAAGACAAGGACAGTGGAGCCACTGATTTAACATATGCCAGTTCTCAACTCAATTTGCAGCGTTACAAGGCGAAATCATCACACAGCAAGCAAATGTCTAACTTAGGAAAAATCAAATATTCGCTTCCAGTAACTTACTTGGGAAAACAATTGCATCCGAGACACATAATCGCTTGTTTATTTTTTTTTTTTACAAGCCAAATAATGATATATACACACACTTAGCTAAAATCCCAACAGTCCAGCGCAAAATGCACAGTTTTGCAGTCTTCTAAGACCACCCATGCAGAAGTATTCCAGAAACACACTGCTGTAAACTTGCTTTGGGGAGTTTACAAAGAAATCTGAATTCATCTGGGCATTCAGTTTCCAGAGCATACACCATGTGTCATCACTTACTGGTAAACAGAATACAAATCGCCTCGTCTGCATTTCTGCATTCACGCTGTAGTTCCTGGACTGTGTTTCTTTTAGGTCTTAAAAATCGGGTCCATCACTGATAGTGTTGGACTGCTTGATTTTATAAACTTCTGGAAATAAAACATCTCTCAGCTACACAGCCAATTAATTTCTTTCACCTCAGTAAGTATTGCCACTGTAAAACTCCAGATTCCCAAGGGAAGGGGGCTGGTACGAGTCCTAAAGGTTATTTGGTATAATATACTAACATACTGTTCGCTTGAATTTTTTTTTTCTTTTAAAGCTGCGTTAAGTCTTTTGGGTTGATGTACTTGAATTGGGAAGCTTTTGCAGTTTGGTGCTGTTACAGTATCTGTAGCTTTAGTGGCACCGCCAATCCTTTGAAAAGCCAGCTGAATTTGGCTCGTCACAGTTACCGCTGTCGCTGCAGCGGACATATGCCTTTCAAAATCCACAATGGCGAGCTTACCAATAAACTCTACCCTGCAGGCTCAGCAGATTTTAACGTTGAAGTGAAAATCTAGAGATCGATGACAGAAAAACAGTTCTCAGTGTAACTGATGTGCGCGATGCCGTGGTGTAAGTTGCACTTAGACTGGCAAATACATCTCTAATAACAGAATGGTAACAGAGAAAAAGGAGCACTAGCTGGCTGCTGGAAGGACAGGGGTGACCGAAGGCACGGCAGAGACACACAGGGCACAAGACTATTACTGCAAATATCTGCGATATCAAAGCCATCAAATGCTGATTCTATCCAACACTGACAATCACAATACTAAAGCGGCATCAATACGTTCTCCATCCCCTACAATCCTCTCACCGAGTGCTGACATAAAATTTTGGAGGTGCCTTCACCATCCTCTTCCCACATCATTTGGAGCTGTTCTCAGGCACAAGCAGCAAGCTGCTGTGCTTCCCCGGCAGCTTCGAATACCAAACTGCCTTGGCAGGAGCGCCTGTGTTCTGCACAGAAAACACGTGGGATAGCCACCGCGCAGCAAAACGAGATCCTCCAGGCCGCCAACAGCTTTGATTTGTGTTACATCCCTGTGTACAAAACCTGGCGTCAGAAGACAATAAGCTTAAACACAGTTATTAGTTATAAGCATGAACAAGAATCAATGAAAAACAGTGCAAGTTCTTACTGACACGCAGGGATCTGAAGCAGGAAAACATTAATGGCCTAACTGCAGCGTCTCAGCCTAACAATTAGTTTCACACGCCACAATACTCATCCTGTATAAGCCGGGGTAATTATCACTTAATAAATACTTGGAGAGAAGCGTTCCATGAACAGAAATAACATCATATCATCCATTTGTATTAGCTCTGCGCTGCAATCAAAACACGTACTTTAGATATCATACATAAAAGAAACAATGACTCCCTTTCCGCACATTAATTTTCAAGCTATCTGTCCCACTCAGAACTTCACACATCCCTTCTATTGCCACAATGCTCTATTTCTATTTTAAACTATGCTGTTTGGAGGTTTAATTTGTTCGTAGGAATGGCAAATCTAAACAACTCGAGAGCTGCGCAGTCAAACAAGCGTTCACAACCTCCACAGCAGTGGAAAGCGGCGTCCGTAGTTAAGGTCCCTTCCTGTTTCAAGGACCCCTGCAAGGTGAAGGCCACCCACGATAACAGAACACACAAATGCTACTGCCTGCCCCAAAAACTTTGTTTTCCTAAAAAAAAGACAGCCCACTAATTCACTCTGGAACATTGCAACACGTCAAACATTAGGAAGAAAAACACAAAGGAGTGCACAAACCAGGATAAAATAAGACGGAACTCAGCGTTCAGCTGGAGTTGTAGTTTTGTGTAATTGCCAGGAAATGGGAAGGTTGACAAAAGGCTCAGATGTTGCTGTAGAAGAACCTTAATCCTGCTCAACTACAAAAGCATGGAAGGGAAACGTCCATCAACAAAAAACTAATAACCAGCACTCTCCTCTGAGCTGCAATGTTTTTCCAAAGATATCTCCCACCTTTAAGAGAAAGGAGCGCACGGAAACTCGACAGCCATTCATACAACTCAGGCGCGCTCCTTCAGCCTGTACCACCGTATGTCAGCTTTTAATCATTTAAGGACCTCTACCTATAGGTGTAAGTTTAAGTTAGGGCTTGTCTACACACAGCAGTTACATTGACAAAGATGCTTCACTGAAAACCGCTTTGTGCTGATGGTTGATAGCCACACAGAAACGGACAGGTCTCACTTCACTGCCAGCATTTCGGGAGGCCGGTGGGTTCCTGCCCAGCACATACTTTGCGCCGTGAGCAGGCATCCCACATTTCTTTTGTGCCACTGTCAGCTCTTAGGCAAAGCAGGATTCTCCTCTGAGAACCCAAGAGATACCTGCCAGCCCGCAACCATCGCCTCTCAACACGGCGTACAGGTTGGGGACAGCACCCGGGCGATGCCGCAGCCTGCTCCAGCTGCAGCTTAGACTGCTCCAAGTGCAAGAAAAGGAGCTCACAGACGTTTCCACCATACAGCAGCCATCAAGCTCTGCATCTCAGTCAACATTGCCCCAACTAATTTTGTAGGTATCTGCTACCATTTCCAAATTCCCAGGAGACCGCAATGGCTGAAAAGCAAGAATTACACTGCTGATACCTGGAACATGCAGTGGATACGACATGGCAACTTAAAATGCTGCCACCAGTTAGGCGAAGCTTTGCTGACTGCAGCTATGCTACCAAGCAGATATGACTGAGGCTTAAGATGCTAAAACATCTCTGTATCTGCCTACAGCTGTGCTAAGACAACAAGAAATGCAGGTAAGATTCAGCAGCTTCTTCAAGAGGGATTTTTCCTTTGTCCTGCACAGCATCAGTTTTAGACCTGAGGAAATAAGCACTGCCAGTGGGAGAGGACTGGTAGTGGCAAGCAGAATTTCACAGTGACGTTTCAGGATGGCAATTTCCTACATATCTCCACAACATTTGCTACAGCCTAATTATTTCTTTACTTATTTTGTTATCCGTTCAGAGGAATGTGGTCAGCGCCGTCCAGAAACTGATCATTTCCGTAAGCAAGGCTTTGACGGATGGGTTGTTGGTACAGATGTGACAGAGTTTGAGCACCATAAGCAGAAAGCACTGCCCTGTGTAAAGCCCGTCGATCCTTTGCAGATGAACGGCTGTTCTGCATGCAAGGAGCTCCCCAGTTCCACTGAAGTGACAAGTAAATGCCCAGCCACAAAATCTACCAGCAGAAGGAGCTACTTCTTTGTCGTGCTCCAGGGCTTGGTAAACACTTACAGTAACCTGACTAGTATTAACGTGTCGGTTTGGAAAAGTTAACACCACCATAGATTTCAGGAATTCTCAAGCAACTTCTTGAATAAAAGATGTTGACTTACTGGCATAACTAACGTTAAAGGCATTACCGATATCAGCAGTCTTCATTATTCTTGGACATGATGCTCACAGGGGCCAATGGGAGCCACAGAAAATAACTGTTTTAACTCTGCAGCTGAGCATGTTTTTGGGAAACTGAAATCTAGATGGCAGGCACTCAACAGATGACTTCTGGCAGCCAAAAAGTACTTGCCCTAAATCCTAACTGCTTGTTGTGCTTGGAGCATCTGCGAGAGCAAAGGGAGAAGGAGCTTCACCAAGGCTGGACATGCAAGATCGAACACTCTATCCTGGACCTGCAAACGCATCCACCCACATGGCAATCATCACGCTGGGCTTGGTTTTGGGAAGGGGGATTGTTTTATCTTCTTTCTTGAGTTTCTTTAAGGAAAAGCCAGAAGAAATCCAATAAATATTGGGCAAGGCAGGGAGTCAGTTGCCATGGTCTGTGGGCAAAGCAGTGCTAGGACGCTACCACGCTCTGACGGACTGCCTTTTTTTTTTTCCAGTATGAAGCTGTGAATGCTGTGACTCTCTTCACTGATTTTAAACAGAAGAGTGACATTCATTTCACCACCTGTTCATTAACAGGTTTATACATCACCATGAGTTTTGTATAAATTTACAAGCATGAGCTAATTCCAGAGGAAATACCAGTGATGTCCAAGTCTTCCTCCCATAAACT